GCTCAGACAGCTCCTTTGCTAGGGTTTAGGGTTTAGGGTTTAGGGTTTAGGGTTTAGGGTTTAGGGTTTAGGGTTTAGGGGTTTAGGGGTTTAGGGTTTAGGGTTTAGGGTTTAGGGTTTAGGGTTTAGGGTGGACAGGCCACTGCTCAAGGCAGGCCGGTAATCTCCCCTGTTCTGCTCTTCTCCTCGCCTCTTTCGCGTGCCTTGCCTTGGGCCTACCGGCCCATATCTTCGACTTGGTGCGTCGTCCAAAGCCGCCGGAAAGGAGTGGGGTCTTGTTGCTTAGAGCTCAGGGCTGTTGCAGCAGCTACTACCAGTCGTACCAGTACTTGGACAAATCCTGGCAGGGAGTCGTAGTAGTAGTAGTAGTAGNNGTTGTAGTTGTAGTCGTAGTCGTAGTCGTAGTCGTAGTCGTAGTCGTAGTCGTAGTAGTAGTAGTAGTAGTAGTAGTAGTAGTAGTAGTAGTAGTGGCAGTAGTCCTCCTCTTGCTCCTTCTGCTCCTCCTTCTCCTCCTCCTTCCACTACTATGTACTACTACGACTCCCCTACAACTGCTATTGTCATTCATACCGTTTCTGACACAGGCATTCACAATACTGCTAGATACCTCCGATGTTAGTACAACTTTCGCGACTGCTGGTCGGGTCTGACTCGCCGGATCTCAAAGTCTGGCCGGCGCATAGAAGACATCAAGACTCACTCACTGGTGCCAGCCCAGTCGCCCCAGCCACTCTGGGGGTTGTCCTTGGCAGCTGCACGGAACGAGAGAAGGCTTGTTGCTAAACGGATAAAAGGCTTACAGTGCATACCCGATATCAACACCAGGAGAGCTACCTGTACCTGTCCAACCTTTTGTGAAGCACACGACTGCCGTCAGTCTCATAGCACTCTTAAAGTACCCTGATTATAGTGCCTTTGTGATACACCTAGACTGCCCTCATGCAACTTCATGCAACCTTACTTGGAGGGTCGGGGGACTTAGTAACTAGTTATTTTATAGACTTATAAGTACCATAACCCTAATCTGCTTCATATCTACTTACTAAGTCCTCCGACCCTCCAAGTAAACCGGCCAAGCCACCCATGGCCCAGTCGAAGCTCCAACCGCCTTCGTGTTCAGGGTTCAGGGTTCAGGGTTCAGGGTTGAGGGTTCAGGGTTTAGGGTTTAGGGTTTAGGGTTCAGGGCTTCGGTATTGGACGGCCGTCGGAGTGAAAGGGTTTGGAGGAGCTCAGGATTTCGGGCTCGAACATACCAGAACATGAAGACTGCCACTCTGGGTTATCATAAACTCTTCTCCGAACACCGCCAGGCGGCGGTTAGGGTTTAGGGTTTAGGGGTTTAGGGGTTTAGGGGTAAGGGTTTAGGGCTTAGGGTATGCATACTGCCTGACCTGAACAGGGTTGTGACGTCATGAACTCGCGCTCCTGCGCGCTGAGTGTCAACGAAACCGTTGGCAAACAAAGATTGCTGTTCTCATCAGTGTCATACTGAACCCTAGACCCTAAACCCGAAACCCTGAAACCTGTCCTGTCCTTGTAGCACCCCTTACCCTTCCTAGTGCCCTTTAAAGGAACTGTAGACTCTTAAAGGATCCCTTAAGCCCCTCAAGGAACCCCCAACCCTAAAAGGGTTTACGGTGTAGGGGTTCGGGGTTAGGGTTTGGGGTTTAGGGTTTATTTTAAACCCCTAAACCCTAAGCCCTAAGCCATTACAAGAACCCTTAAAGGAACCTTCAAAGGAACCCTTCATGCATTGAGGCATCCTAAACCCCAATCCCTAAACCTTAAACTCTACAGAAAGGGGTGGCGTGGGCAAACAAACTCTAACCCCTGAGCCCTAAACCCCAAACCCCCAAAACCCTAAACCGAAACCCTAAACCCCAAACCCCAAAACCCCAAAAACCCTAAACCCCCAAACCCCCAAACCCCAAAACCCTAAACCCCTTTGCTTCAGCCAAGGCCTCTTCGGCAGCGGAGACCTCAACGGGCTCCTCGGTGGCTTGCTCCTGGGTTTAGGGTTTAGGGTTTAACGGTAGGGTTTAGGGTTTAGGGTTGGGGGTTTAGGGTTTAGGGTTTAACGGTAGGGTTTAGGGTTGAGGGTTTACAGTAGGGGTTAGGGCTTGGGGTTTTCGTGGCTTCTGGGGTGGTTGAGGCTTCTGGGGTTTGAAGGTTTAGGGTTTTTGAGGTTTAGGATCTGGGGTTTTACGGCTTGGGCTTTTAAGGTTGAGGGCTTGAGACTTTAATTTAAGGTTTTACGGCTTTTGGTTTGGAGTTTGAGTTTTGGGTTTTTTTCGGGTCGAAGGTCCCTTTCAAGGCTTCCTCTAAGCGCTTCTTTTAGGGTTCCTTTTGGCCCTAAAACCCTAAACCCTAAAACCCTAAACCCTCTTAGAGTCTCGGGTTTAGCTTGTAAGGTTTAGGGTCTAGGGTTTTAGGGTGTAGGGCTTAGGGTTTAGGGTTTAGCGTTTGGTTGAGGGTGATGCATGGAGGTTCGGATTTAGGTTTGGCTTAGGCATGAGTCTTGAACGCTTTTGCCACTAGGTTCGTCCAGCAAGCAATGAAGCATGTGGTTTCGCGGTCTGAGTTCGAGAAATAGGCAATCTGAACTCACATGGGGGTTTCCGAAAATAGGGGACCCTAATATAATACCCTCTAGGATGCTTAGTATAAGGACCCCAAAATAAGGTACCTCCTAACTTCGGAAACTCCCATAACCACTTCAAGGCACAACCAAAGCGATAGACTGACTTCTCAGTTTCTAGTGGGCAAACCCCAAACCCCTAAACCCTACACACCAAACCCCTAAACCCCAAACCCCTAAACCCCTAAATCCCAAACCCCTAAACCCTGAACACCAAACCCCTAAACCCCAAACCCCTAAACCCCTAAACCCCAAACCGCTAAACCCCTAAACCCTAAACCCCTAAACCCTCAAAACCCAAACCGCTAAAGCCCTAAACCCTACACCCCTAAACCCCCAAAACCCCCTAAACCCCAAATCGCTAAAGCCCTAAACCCTCCCCCTAAACCCCTTAATATCTACTTACTAAGTCCCCCGACCCTCCAAGTAGACCCCTAAACCC